ATGCCAGAAAAACAAAATGAGGGCAGGGGGTGCATGGCAGGATTCCCTGCTTGTGCCCCTTGCCCCCACCCAATGCTCCTGCCCCCCAGCCCTGCTGCCCCGTGCCCCCCACCCAGAGCCCCTGCCCCCCAGCCCCTGCAGTCGCTGCCAGCATGGAGCCTGGTACAGCCATTTGCAGCCTGCTTGCTGCAGCTGCCCACAAGGCTACAAACAGCTGTGCCAGGCTCCAGAGCCCCAGCATCAGCTCTGTACCGGTGCGTGTACGCACGCCTCAGAGCAAGCAGTGGAGGAGGGGCCTGAGGCAGCACAACCCCGGTCTCTACCCTGCTCCCGGCACAGGAGCCCAGCACAGCTGTTTGTAGCCAGCCTGGGCTCTGGGCAGTTGAAGCAAACAGCAGGCAAGCTGCAAACAGCTGCACTGGGCTCCACAGCTCCTGCATTAGCTCCATGTAAGTGGCAATGCTGTTTAATATATTCATAAATTATTTGGAAAAGGGGGTGAGTAATAAAGTGAACAGATTTGGGGATTTGGACAAATTATTCGAAGTGATAAAGACCAAGGCAGACTGTGAGGAACTACAGAAGGATCTAGCGCTATTAAGTAGGGGTGAACCAATAGAGATTTTGGGGGCTGATACCGATATCCGATTTTTAAGGAGGCATATCGGCTGATACTGATCCAATTTCCAATACAGTGTGGAGAGCTGCCTCCAGCTGGTAAGTCCATTGTGGTGAAAGGGGAGGGAACAAGCATGGGGGGACAGATCAACACCCCCCCACCCGCAGTGAGGGAGAGGACAGGGGCAGGGACTACCCAGCCAGGGTGGAGCAGACCACGGGACAAACTTGAAGCTTGTTGAGGGGGGCGAGGGTTGGCCCCCACCGCTGCACACACCCTGGGAGGGCATGGCGGGGGGGAGGCGTGTGCCCCCTGATCTGCGCGGGGCAGGCAGGCTGCAGCTGCAAGCTGAAGCCAGAGCTGTGCCAGGCTCTTCTCGCTGGGGGCTGGGCTTGGGGCCAGGGCTAGGGAAGGGGCTGAAGCCACTGCAAATTTCACTGTAGTCTCGCTCTCAGCGCTGCCACCACGCGTCTGGCATGGCCCCGGCTCTTCCTGGCTCAACCCCTGCCTCCCCCCACGCGCTGGGAAGAGCCAGGGCTGTGCCGGGCATGCGGTGGCACTGGAAAGGAGCTACGGCAAATTTGGGGTGGCTGCAAACCACTCCATAGCCCCTGCCCCAAGTCTAGCCCCTGGTGCAGCCCTCAGCTGCAGCCTGCCCACCCTGCCCTGAACAGATCCAGGGGGGCACACCCCTCCCCCGTGCCCTCCTGGGGTGCGTGCAGTGGCAGAAGCCGCCTCTGCCCCCCTGACAACCCACAGGTCTGTCCTGCACCCTGCCCCGGCTGGGCAGCGTCTACCCCTTCCCTCACCCCTCCCCTGCCGCCACAAGGGACATACCAACTGGCCCCATTGGGCCGATTTCCAATACAGCCAATTTTCTTTATATTGGTACCGATCCAATATCGAACCGATGTATCAATGCATCTCTACAATTAAGTGAATGGGCAATTAAATAGCAGGTGAAATTAACGTAGAGAAGTGTGAAGTGATGCACATAGATAAAAACCCAAACCCTACCTACACAATTATGGGTTCTACAGCAGCTATTACTGCACCGGAAAGAGATCCGGGAGTCTTCGTGGACAGTTTGCTAAAAAACATCAACTCCATGCTCAGCAGTCATCAAAAAGACAAACAAAATATTAAGGATTATTAAGAACAGAATTGTAAATAAAATGAAAGTATCATTATGCCCCTTTAAAAATCCATGGTGTGTCCATACCTTGAATACTGTGCCCACTTCTGGTCCACACATCTCAGAAAGGGTATAGAAGAACTAGGGAAGGCCCAAAGAAGGGCAACAAGGATGATTAGTGGTACAGAGGGGCTTCCATACGAGAAAACACTAAAGAAACTAGGCCTATTCAGTTTAGGCAAGAGAAGCTTGAGTAGGGACATGATAAGGGTTTATAATATACTAAATGGCAAAGAGAAAGGGATTTATTATTTACTGTCCCTCAATACAAGAACTAGGGGTCACAACATGAAACTAGTAGGTAGTAAGTTTAAAATTAACAAAAAGAAGTTCTTTTTCACACAGCGTGCAATTAAAATGTGGAACTCATTGCCACCAGATGTTGTAGAAGTTGACAGTTCAAATAGAGATTGGACAAATCCTTGGAGGAACAGGGCATCGGTAGCTATTGATCATGGGAGTTAAGGATACAGTCTCTGAATTAGTACTTCCTAGACCAGGGGTGGGCAAAATGCGGCCCAGGGGCTGAATGCGGCCCGGCACGCCATTCTATCCGGCCGGCCTGCAGGGCCCCTAAAAAATTTAGAAAATTAATATTAATCTGCCCTGGGCTGCCTGTCATGTGGCCCTCAATGGCTTGCCGAAACTCAGTAAGTGGCCCTCTGCCCAAAATAATTGCCCGCCCCTGTCCTAGACCTTAAATGCTGGAGACTACAAATGGAAGAGGAACAGGGGGGAAAAACACTGGCCACACCTAGTTCACCTTCCTTTTCAGCATTTACCCTCTGCCAATGTGTGACACAGGATACTGGGCAAGATGGACCTATGGTCTGATCCAGTAAACGGCAATTCTTATATTCTTAAATAAATTACTTCAGAGCAGTGCAGTGGATTTGGCCACATATATCCTATCAGTTTTAAAACAATACTAATTAAACATCTCAAGCTCTGCATCTCTGTGCCTTAATTCCCTGACAATAAAATGGAGGTAATACTTCCCTATCAGCCAACATGAGGCTAAATATTTTGGAGCTGTTCAGACACTGGTGGCGAGGCAAGAAAGGTACATACATAGATAAAAGAGAAAAAATGCATTTGTAAAATAATGACCACCTTTTAGAAAGACTGCAAAAGCCTCCATCCACCTTGATAAAATTTTAAAATTGTAACCTGAAGGCCATTCCCATCGGCAACCAACCTCTTACCCCAAAACCTCAACAGTAAAAAAGCCAAAGCACATAGGGTCCCATGCAGAAGGTTCTTAGAAAATAAGACAGAGGAATTTGTATCTAATCCAAAGAGAGCATTAAGTATATGCTGATATGGTACAAGGCAGAGAGAGAGAAAGAGAGAAAGTCAATTTGCCTAGGTGTAGCATTCTGCTAATACAAGCTTTTCTGCTTCTAGATCTGGAGCTGGTATATTCAAAGCTAAATTAGAGATCCCTTCATACTATTGCCTTATGCCACAAAGTGAAGCTCTTAAGGTATGTCTATCACCATTAGATCCATTTTATGTGGAAGAAGCCCAGACACCAAGCAGCCATACAAAATCCTAAGATAAAAGCAATATGCAAATGTTACCTATTATCCCTCTGAGAAAGGGTACTGTGATACCTGAAATCCTGCCTATGCCTGTACCAACCATACAGTTGGTCCAATAAAATATATCACCCACAAGAATTCTTACTTCTTGTATATCTCCTGGACCATCACAACATCACCTCAACACTACCACCCAAGGAAATGAAAGTCCTCCATACATACTTAATAGCAGTCTTCAACTACCTGAAGGGGTTGTTGAAAGAGGCTGGAGCTAGGCTGTTCTCAGTGGTGGCAGATGTCAGAACAAGGAGCAATGGTCTCAAGCTGCAGCACGGGAAGTTTTGGTTAGATACTAGGAAGAGTTTTCTCACTAGGAGGGTAGTAAAACACTGGAACAGGTTACCCAGAGAGGTGGTGGAAACTCCATCCTTGGAGGTTTTCAAAACCCAGCTAGACAAAGCTTTGGCTGGGATGATCTAGTTAGGGCTGGTCCTGCTTTAAGCAGGGGGTTGGACTACATGGCCTCCTGAGGTCCCTTTCAATTCTAACTTTCTATGATTCTATCTTTAGGTGGCTTTGAGAGGAAACCTCTCCAGACCACTGAAATTTCAAATTATTCCCTTACCCCTATGTACAGTATATTTAAAAAGAAGCAGCTCAAGAATTGCTTCCATGTCAGACAGGAATAAAGCTACAGTATCTTTCAGTGTTATGCAGCAAAGGATGAACTTCATATATTTAGTGTATATTTCAGACTGCTATATTATAGCTGACCAGTGAAAGAGAGATGAAAGGGGGTGGGGAGAAAGAAAAGCGGGGAGAAGAGAAAGAGGGGAGGGGTGGGGAATGGAGAATGCCTAGGCATCACCAGTAGGTAAATAGCTGGGGGGGGTTAAACATTTTAGCTAACAGGTTTTAATTAGACACATTTTAAAAGCATCACTGGCACCTGGCCTAGACAGGATTAACAACTTTACAAAGCATTCCCTGACTGTGCTCGGCTCTAAGGCACAACCTACCTCTCTTGTTGCCAGAGAATGGATTTATCTGCTCTTGTATAAACACACAGGCTGTGTGACCACAAAGTATAGCCAACTGCAACAAGGGAAGCTAATAACCTTGGGAAGTCAATCAACTCCATAGGTAAACTGGTAATAATGTTGGTCTCACACTTTGCTTGTACAAAATAAAATTAAGATAATCAACCAAATGTAAACTGAAGTGTGACTACATGAAAGCAGGCAGGCAATCCAAAGCAACTGTTTGAAGGAACGGTAAGCACCTCCATTCATCTCAGAAGGCTGGTTACAAAATCTGTAAAACCAGTACTGTCAACTCTTTAATTATTGTGCACTTAAGCTGGAACATGCTACAACTAACATGTTCATCCCAAACTGCTTCTCATCTCTTCTCAGGCATAGTGAGCACCAAATGTCTCCTCTCCCACTATCAAAAGCTTTCAACTATTATAATATAGTCTCATGTAAAAAAGACACTGAAAATGTGAGACAGCAAAAAGTAAACTGAATATAGTATTCAGCTAAGCAGAACACAGCTGTTGCTGCAGAACGTTCGACACCAGGATCCCATAAGGGGGAGAGGTCATCAATATACTTACTCAGGAAGTCACAATGTTCCATACCTGCATTTGGGAGACAGAGGCATTATGAACTTCTTATCTCAGGAACTATGTATTCCTCTGGACCAATCTATCATACAAACAATACTACCTCTACAAGAGCTGTAGAACTGTTGCACGTTCCGACACAAGACACAAGCTACGAGTACATATGTTTTGGTGGCTTTTCATAGCTACTTGCGGCATTTTGCCCAATTCATTACTAGATCAAATGTCATCCAATCAGAGTAGGACAAACATTTATCATGGCTAGCAACTGGACGATGTCATCAATCAACAGTTCAGGACTTTCAGTGTTATGACAGCCATAAAAACCTTTGGAGCAAACAAGGCCTTCACTGCCTGCTACAGTAGTAAAAGGACCAGAATTGCTGACTGGTAGTGGCAGCAACACTTTTTTCATTGGAAACTGTCGTTTGAAATTCTGAAAGTGTTGCATCCAAGTTCTTCTGGCCCAGAGGCACATCCCACACCAGAATGAGAGCTCATATACTAGTAGTGACATTACATTATAGTCCTAGAGGGATAATAGACCGCTGTGCTTTGTACAAGAATTTAAGTAGACCCTTCTGCCTTTATCTTATAAAACTTTCCTGATGACAGTAATGGATCCCAGAGTACTTCCCACTTTCATTAATCAACCTGATCCATCTGCCTGTGCTAAGCCCTGCTTGTCAGTTTTCATGCTTTGCATTCATCAAGACTCTGTTCTGCCCGTCCTTCATGCTGAAAGTGCTAATTATTAACACACATTAGATGTGCCTTGACAACAAAAGTGCCCACAACCTGTTTTATGACCAAAACAAATGAAAAGGATTAAGTATATACAATGCCAAAATGAGCAAACACTTTGCTGCAGAACGTAGGTTAGTCTCTCCTATAGCTGATTTTAGATCGGTCCAATTCATGCAGCAAAAGTAAAGTATTCTACTTCCTACCCCAGCCAAAAGGAAAACAGAAAAAACCCACTAAAGATGAATAAGGAGAGAACTAGTTTGTTAGAAACGTGTTGTGGTCACCTGTAATTCTGCTATGTAGTCACAGCAAGCCCTTAAAAAGCAAAGCGTGTGCCACAACCAGGAATAAGCCAGCCAGGACATGAGGAGGACATAAGGGTTAGAATGCTGACCGCTGAGAAAATGAGAACAACAACTGCTTTATGCTGACAAAATAGGAATACTCAGATGACAACTGGGTAAGATGAGAGCTGACTGGCCAGGTGATAGAGCAATATGAACCGTGGTACATGCAGGCCACCATCACAGAAAAGCCAAGATGGGTGGATTATGTGAAACGAGACAGGCAAGAGAACAGAGTCTACTGTAACAATAGGATAAAGACAACCCAAAAGAGGTGATTCAAGAAGCTGAAGGAGAACACAATGAAAGTCATAAAATCATAGAAAGTTAGAGTTGGAAGGGAGCTCAGGAGGTCATCTAGTCCAACCCCCTGCTCAAAGCAGGACCAGCCCCAAATAGATCATCCCAGCCAAAGTTTTGTCTAGCCAGGTTTTGAAAACCTCCAAGGATGGGACTGCACCACCTCTCCGAGTACCCTGTTCCAATGTTTTACTACCATCCTAGTGAGAAAATTCTTCCTAATATCTAACCTAAACTTCCCTTGGTGCAACTTGAGACAGTTGCTCCTTGTTCAGTGACAGTTTAGGGGACACACTGTGCAGGAACACCTAGAAAGAAAGAGCAAGAGCTGCCTACCCTGAGAACTGGCCAAGGTGAAAGAGGAATAATAATCATGGAGAGCCCAAGATACTGGGACAGGAACTGTAGGTGTGATATATCCTTTAGGGTAGTATGCTGTGGCCCACAAAAGGTAACAGTTAAGTGGTTAGGCCTTAAGAGTTTTCCATAGACATTTCATAGACATTAGGGCTGAAAGGGACCTCAGAAGGTCATTGAGTCCAGCCCCCTTTTTAGCATTGACAGACTAAAATTTCTTGTGCCACTGAATCACTGTGCAACCCCAGGCATGTCAGTTTACAGAGAGGCAAACCATGGTCAAATGAGAATATTTACCTACAGCTGCTTCGAGAATTTGGTAATTAATGACAGTAGAACAATTAAAAACATTTAAGTGCTGTAAAAATTCCAGGTGCTATTATTAGTGCTCTCCCTCAGAAAGTTAAAACCAACTGCTTAGAGCATAACATTACATTCATTTTCTTTCTACAAGCAGACTGCCCCATTTGTTTTTATGACATATGTCAGAAGTAGAACAACTTAACTGTGATTTGGGATTGACATTACCAGCAAAATCCTTGAGACAGATTTGATACTTTGGCAGAACTCAAGGGCAAACAAATCTTTTGAATACCAGTTTTGAAAAATTTCCTAAAGAAATATTTGCAACTGAGGAAAACTGAAGAGCAACTTTATAAGGCAAAGTCTGCAATGAGCCTAGCATATATTTGTACTACAACTCTACCTCCCTTTTACAAAACAGAGAATACTGGGGTTTTTTTTTGAAGGATCGCATTACATACTCATGAAATTGTGAGCTTTGTAGATTAAAAGCTGTCCACTGGATCAACATGTTTAACTGTCCTCCAAATTACTTTGCACAAATACTTGAATTTTAATCAGCTTTGAGGGCCTATATTTTATATGCACTTATGGGAATTATGCTAGTCTCTCATTAGGGGTTAACCATAGGGACAGCGCAAGATAGTGGACGGTGCTCTCACAACTGTAGTATACAAAACCTAAACTATATGTACCACATTCATAATTCTAAGAGTTTAGCTGAGTTTCTCTTCTGTGGATTTTCATCCATGCACCAGCAATCAATCATAAAAAAGTGAACTCCAAATAAAAGATAAAAATTCCATGTACTTCAGCCAGATATGGTAACAGTTTTATCAGGCTACAAAGAAGTACGCTCAGCATTGCTTCATCAATAGAACCTATGCTGAGATGTCACAACAGTGGGAAGCATATGTCCCTGTAATGGACATCATGGTACATGAAAGAAAGGCCATTTTAAGTAAGTGTGTTGAATGCTCCTATCAATCTGGCCAGTACAAAGTGAAGAGAAGCGTCTTAATTACATTCTCATCTACTTTATAATCCAACAACTGTAACATTAGTGTTCCCTAACCATATTAGTAAACATCTAATGAAGAAGTTACTCCAGGTCAGGTAAAGTTTCACAATTTGATATTTGGTTTTTTTTATTTTATTTTACTGACTCCTGTATTTCTTTTTTATACAGTTGTACTCCACAAGAAATCACCAAACAAACACAGGGGCCTATCCCCACAAAAGGGCCCCTCTTCTAAATATTTTTAAATAAACAAAGAAAAATACTGGCTGAGGAAACCAAGTTTCATAAGGACCATTCCCAAAACAGGAGGCTGGGACCCATGTCCTTTCACTCCAAGCTGCTTCATCTTTTCCCCTACCCAGTTAATGCCCCAGCATGTAAAGAAATGTCCACAGAGACAACACAACATGACAAAAGCTAAGTGAGAAGTCTGAAGGAAAAAGGATTTAGTGTATTTAGTGTGTCTGTAGTGTGTGTCTGTGTGTAGTGTCTATAGTATTCATCTGCATGCAGTGTGTCTGTAGTATGTACAGCATGTATAGAGTGCCAGCGTGACATCTGTAGTAAGTGCACGTTGCATCTGTCTGCATGTAGCGTGCTATAGTGTCTGGGTCTGCATGTGTGTGTAGCGAGCCTGTAGTGTCTGGATCTGTGTGTAATGCGTCTTTGCGTGTAGTGTGTCTGGGTCTGCTTGGAGCGTGCCTGTGTAGCATGTCTGTGTGTAGCACATCTGGGTCTCCTTGTAGTGTACCTGGGCAGCATGCCTGTACATGTACACGTGCCTGGGTCTCCTTATAGTGTGTCTACATGTGTAGTGTGTCTGGGTCTCCTTGCAGAATGTATGTAGCATGTGTAGCATGTCTGCGTGTGTAGTGTGTCTGGGTCTCTTTGCAGCATGTCTGTGTAGTGTGTCTACATGTGTAGTGTGTTTGGGTCCCCTTGTAGAACGTGTGTGGCGTGTGGTGCATCTCCTTGTCGCGTGTGTGCGGGTGCAGTGTGCCTGGGTCTCCTTGTCGGGTGTCTGCGCGTGTGCTCTGCCTGCATGTAGCATGTAAGCAGCGCCTGAGCCTGCAGCAGCGCTTGTGCGCGCGGCGCTGAACATGTACATGGCAGCAGCCCCGCAGCCTCGCCCCGGCCCCGGCCCCGGCGTCAGCGCTCGGGCCCGGAGCCCCGCGCCAGGACCCCCCGCT